AGAGAGAGAGAGAGACGGGGGGGGGAGTGATGTGAGAGGACATACCTGGTCCTGGCGGAGGTCTGCATGGTTGACATCCGCATGTACTTCGGTTGCTGCTGCTGACGTCAACTGGTTGCTTTGTCATTTTGTTAGGCTAGTGCAGTAGCTGTATGGTAGTAGTCTGGGTGCTGAGCGCCGATAGGAGGACGAACTTCGAGTACACTGTTGGTGGTGGCGAGAGACGGCACTCATTGACAATCGAGTTTGCTGCTTTGGTTCTCCTTCAGGGGGATTTCAGTGCATTTCCGCTTTCTGGACAGCTTACGGCTATCTGGCATTCAATGTGATTTTTTGCGAATCCGGAATTCTGTCATTTCGGTATTGCTCGTTTTTCCTTGCATTTAGGAAAGTGCTAGTGTAGTGAGTCTGGCCTCAATCAACCGCTTTGAAATTGCAGTCAGATGCATCCAGTGCGAACTCAACTCTAACTACCAGTTAACCCCAGCCGAACTTCAGTTCGTACTGGTCCACGTTAGTAAGAGCAGCTTTCCAATTTGGGCTTGGGCCAGTAGCAAAGGTGGGATGCGCCTTTATGAAAAGGCCTAACTACCAGTTGCAGGCCCGTGCAGCTTGGAAGGTAGGTTCGTGAACTTAGGCTCGTGTGGACTGGTGTTTTGACTGAACTTAACTGCGCTTGCTTGTGCAAAGCGCTTGAACCCGAGCCTTAGGGCTCGTGTTTGCAACCAGGGTTAAAACCTTAAACAGCCCACGCATGCAGTTAAGCAGCAGTTTTTTCAACTTGTCAAAGATCGGAATGCGGAGGATAAGCAGAGGGGGCAAGGAAGGTAAGCACAGGACGAACAATGCATGCGTGGGCTTGTAAGCACAGGACGAACAATGCATGCGTGGGCTTGCGTGTGGGTCTATGTGAGTGGGCGTAAACATCAATCTGTGTTGTCATGTTCGCTGTACACAACACCACACACACACACAAAAAAAAGCATGACCGTGGCAGCCAGTTTTGTCAATTTTCACTGACTCATCGGGAGGTTCAGCCCCGACAGTCAGTCCTGGAGTCATGACGTCACCCAGAGTTAGCAGTAACCCTGTGAAAAGTGGTTGCCACAGGTTTACCGACACCGCAATCCTAGCAGACATGGTCTACTCCAGACCACATAGTGCAATAATCAGGGTTATTGGCATTCGGCCGGGCCCAAACAAGACGGGTTGAATGGCCGAGCGTTCGCCCCCCCTTGGAGATGCGTTCCGCCAAATCTCAACGCCCAAAAAAGTAAAAATAAAAATAAAAAATCGAAAAAAAGGAAAAAAAAAAGGAGAAAAAACATATGCAGAAAAATAAACTGAGCAACTTTTGCCTCAGGGTCACATCAAAATTCTTTACCAAATTTGAAATGAAAAATAAAAATAAAAAATAAAAATAAAAATTAAAAATTAAAATTAAAATTAAAAGAAAAATTAAAAATTAAAATATAAATTTTGAATTATTTTCATTATTTTTTTTTT